GGAATGTTAAATCTGAAAAATGTATTTGAGCAGAGATGGTATGCATGAATTAGAAGACAAAGAGACTGCAGCTAGAAAGTTGGGTGGGGAGTTGTCTTGGTGTAAGACAAGCCAAGTTTGGGGAATAGAATTTAGTGGTGATTATATAAAGACATAAATAAAATACCTAGAAGGAGATTCATCAATCTCAGGTGATGAGGTGTCAAGATGTGGTCCCCTCAACGGGGAATGCCTTTCAATTGGAGTATTTGGAGAGATGCCAGTAGGGAAACTATGTACCTAAGTCAGCTTAAAGTTTACAGTAATTTACATCAAAAATAAAATAAGATTCTTCAAACATGAAATAAGAAAAAAATTATTTTTCTGTAAAGAAGCTCCAAGTTATGTTATCATACCCCATCAAACATGATTATCAAAATCACTATTACTTGCCAAAGAAACTAGAAGGAGAAAATGGCCTTTGAGGATTCTGATAACTAGGGACAAAACTAAAGATTATTTTAAGAGGTAGAAGGTGAGATTCACTATGTCAGAGTCTGAAGATCTATAGAATGTAATTGTGTTGGAAAACAGGCTTTGGTAATGAACCTGAAAGGAATGGGTGGTGGAGACCCCAAGAGGTCAGGGGCAAATTGATTTGACATGTTTTTCTTTGCATACTTGATATTAACATTTATCAGAAGGATCCATATTATTGTTGGACAACCACAAAAACTTAAGTAAAGATATCTTTTTTTAAAAAAAAAAATTTCACAAAATCTAAGCATGCTATTAGAGGAAGGTCTTTTCTACATTCAGCGTGTAAGAAAAGAAGCAGTCATGTACCTAGAAAGTTGCTCTTCTCATACCACGAAGAAACAAAATCTATATTTAAAATAACAATAATTTAACTTCAGTGCATTTTCTATGTCTTCATTTTTGTTAAAATCATGAATGCTTTTCCTAGTGACGTGGGCCCTTGCAGATGTTAATCAGGGAGGAAAGCAGAATGGGGTCACTAGCAGAGGGTCTAATTGAGGTGTTCCACTGATGTGGATGGTGCTCATAAAGTCAGGTGACTGAAAAGGAGGTCTCCACCCATAGCCTCTGAGCCTTCTGTAAGTGTGATCTAGGCAGTGATCATTGGAAATGTATGTATCCAGGGTTGGCTGGGCCTTCACTATGCTCTGCTTAGCTGGCTAACAGAGCATAGAACTCAGCCCCAAGGAGGTCAGGAGAGGATTTATGGTCCTTGGTGACTTTACTGAGATTAAGAACCAAGCATCCTGATTTCAGGAAACAGCCTTGAATAGGAGCCCCTGACCTTGCACTGGCAAGGAATGAAGCTGGAAAAATGCACCCTGAGGCCAGAGCATCATCAAAGGAGTTGACTTGGCTTCTTTTATTCAAATGCTCCCTTTTCATTGAATTGTGTTTGGTTCATTGATAAGACAAATGATTAAAAAAAAAAAAAGCAAACAAAAACCACCACCAACAACAAAAAGAACTTTGAAAGCTAACAAGAAATAAAACAAAGCAAAAGGGACTTTTTGGTTTTGTCTGGAGAACTTTCCGCTAAACCTAGCTAAGGTCATTTTCTCTGTGGGTCTAATTATAAAATCAGTAAGCTGCAACCATGAACCACAGTAAAAATGAGTGGAATTATCTGATTTAAGAGGCAAAGGTGGCTTATGATGGTTTCATGCATTTTGATTATGATATAGTGAATTTAATGTTTACAAAGTTAGAATAACATGTTCATATATAATGGTTTTCCGCGTTGTGTTCTTTCAAGATGGAAATGGCTAGGCAGAATGCCCTTGCCAACAGCCAGGAGTCCTTTTAATTAATTTAAAGGAGGTACAGCTTTGTAAATCAGATATCCACAGAGGATTCAAACTTTTCATTAAAGCCTGTTTCTGGTTCCCGTTGTCTCCAGCAAACTTGTTTTAATACTGGCTTTACAGCATTTAAACAGATCTCATGAACTTGAAAATAAGTTGGTGTTGGGTGAAGCAATTCATGTGTACTTTTCCGTCTCAAGTTTAGTAAGCTGAAGTTAGGAGTTCCATGAGGAACTAAAACTACAATCAAAAATAGATTTAAAAAATAACAAAGAGTTAAAAATGTTGTGATTTCTTGGAAGAAGTAGTATAATAGATTTAATCTTAAGTGTCAAATTTCTCCAGGCTGTGAGTGATTTACTGAAGGCCATGTAATTATAGGTATTTATTTCTGTGTCCACAAACTGGGAACAATAGTCCCATCCTGCCCTACATTAGAAACAAATAGCATGCAAATGGATTTTGAGATCATGAAATTTAAAATACTACCTAAATGTGAATGATTCAGTCATTTAAAATGAAGCCAATTAAAATTGCAGTTCTAAAAAGGATTCCAATAAATGAATTGAAAAACATATAGCAGTACATTACAGTATGTTATTACTACTTCTGAGAAGTTAAGGTTTACTTTAATGACTGTGAAAGAAATTAGGGAAAACAGCAGATTAATTCAAAATTATGTCAAATCTGTCATTGTGTTGATCTCAAGTGAGATCCTATTTTTTTTTTTCTAGGAATTTCAAATCATTTGATATGTGGGGAGAATTCTGCATATGGGACATAATTTAAGTGAACAAAATTATTATTTGTTTCTCCAAAAGCATTTATTATGTGCCTCTTGTGTTCTAAGCAGCATGATGGACCCTAGGAATACCAATGGATGGGGAAAAAATGTAGTCTACGGAGTCTATGGCCTAGACTCCGTTATGAAGATGTTTTGAGTTCCCTTTATCCATGAGAAAAAAGAATGACAACAAAGAACATTAAGTGAGAGGGCAGAACATGAGTAATCCAAAGTGACCAGGATTTCATAGCTGTGTACTAGAATGCGTACTCAACATAAGAGAGCCTGAGTTTGGCCATAGAATATGTTAAGGAGCACACTACATTGTGCTTCCTACTGCTGCCTGTTTTGCTGTGTAGAGTTTATCTACAATCTCTAGGGTTTCCATGCTGAGAACAATTGGTGTGAATTGCTATATAATAGACGTAGAAGGCATGATCTCCTTGGAAGATTTGAAATTCTGGAAAGTTGAGACTAAAAGAGTACTTTTCAGGTCCTCCATCCGAAAAATAGAAAATCCATTAGGGCGGTTTGAAGACCACAGAGAAAGTTTTCCACCTACATGTGAGAAAAGCAAAAATTCATGTTTACTTAATTTCAAGTAAAATAAGAAGACTTATTTGTACAGTTACAACAACCCTTCTCTATGCAGATAACTAGAGAAGGGCCAATATGTGTGGTCAAAACCACACCACAGACAACCTGTTTTTGTCTCACTTCTTACAAAGTTTTAGGTTGCTTTTCCATTTGAAAAATAGATGGAATGGGAGGGAGTAACTTCCCTGAACATCTTCTAGTTGTTATGAGGTCTACTGAGTTACCATGCCACTTTTTTCTCACGTCTCTGAGATAATCTTGAGTCCTTTCCGAGCATACTGAAAAATGTGTAGGGCCCAAAGAAGATCTCTCTCCCTGACGTCATGTGCTGGCTTGGCTTCCTGTTGGTTGGACCGCTCAGAAACTCGGCAAGTTGTATCATTCCACTTGGGTTTTCTTGCTGGATATTCCTAGTACAATTTACCTTGTTAATTTGTTCTTAATGAGTTCATCAGCAATGATTTAATACAACTTTGAGGAACAGCTTTCTTTAGTCTTTAATTCGCGACAGTTCCCCTTCTATTTGGCAGTACATTAATGGAAATGGAAAATTGCCTCATTCTAAATGTCAGAATAATACTGCACCAAAAACAATTCAGTCATGTCTTTCAAACCACGCACATATGGTTCATCACCAAATGTCACTGTTCTATCTCCCCCTTCCCCCCAGGCTCCCCTCCTGCCTGCACCTTCCCTCCTCATTTTCTTTCCATACGCCTGTCTCTGGGGATCATTGTGCAGATAAACTTTCTAATATATCTGCACAAGCTTCATCTCTCCCGTTGTCAGTGTTTACCAACAGCTCGGAAACAAGTTCTTATCACACTAGTTTTACCTAGATCTTGGAATTGGCCGAGTTCACAGATCAGGTGACAGCTATTGCTTTTAGTATTATAAATGTCTTTCATCTGCTCTTGGAATTGCAATATAAAAGTTCATGTGAAGTTTCTTCAAAATAATTTTTGTGCATAATTGTGGTCTGTTTTGAAATGTTCTCTGAGTAAAGCTATGTTCCTTACTCTACCTACACTGGGGCACTTCTCCCCTGCCCCGCCCCCAGAACTCTGTTCAAGCAAGTTTCTTTCTAAGATGAATGATTTTATTATGAATAGTTTGTGATTTATTGGCCAAGTTCATAATGAGAACACCCAACACAGTTTCACTTGCACTTAAGGTAACTAACTTTTAATTGCCTATCTTAATTCACTAACTCTTTAAACGATATTTCCATGAATTTTTAAAATTCATCTAGAAGCTAAACTACCCCAAGATTGTTTTTTTTTTTTAAAAAGGAAAGCTAAAGAGCAGTTTCTAGTTACTGATTATGAATTTCCATGAGTTAACCCCTGAAGATTATTTTTAAATGGTAAATTTCTCTTTCTGAAGACAATCCTTTCTTCAGATAATATTTTGGGGAAAACATTTAAGAAATAAGAAATCCGCACTTTTCATTGTAGGGTTTTTTTTTATACTCAAGGAATTTGTCCAGAGCTAGAAATTTGAAAATTAATTTAATTATTGGTTTTGATATTTTATTTCTACCAGAAATTCAGATCATTATGAAGTATGAATATCCTCATTCCAAAAATGTTTTCTACCAAAGATCACATGATTAAGCAGAAGGTAATTAGAAGGTGACCTATAGTTTTGCAAAGGTGGGCTCAGAAGGCACCAAGAACTTACCTGATGAATCTATTTTCCTTTCCTCTATCTAATAACAGTATTAAGATATTTGCTAGTTTCTCTCTGTAGATATAATATCATAATAATTATATCTTTTTTCATCATTTATGTAGCATCCACCATGGGACAGATGCTTTATACAAGTTACTTCACCCAGTTTTCCCAAGGAAAGATGAAGCAGGTTTGAAAACAGTTTTGGCACAGAGTTCAGAGGTTCCCTGACCTCGAAGTGATGGTATGTACGGAGATACATGCTTTTCTTATTCTACATTTTCCTATCACTTGGAAAGAGTATCAACCACCTTTCCGCCTTGTCACTACTTACCTGGCTACTGTTGACAATGCTGCAATGTTTCCAATGACACAGCTCATGCATTTCTAAGGTAGGTGGACCATTGTCGAGCTGCTCCAATGAGGGGGTGATTCATTGTACACAATTCACGCTTGTTCTTCGGTGCTCCTGCCTATTGCCTTTCTTCTACATTTTATAATAATATAGTTAAACCCTTCCTCTAAGTGATACCTTCAGCTCTTACAAACTGCTACTGATTCTCTGCTCTGAGCAAACCATTTCTATTTCTTGCTTCCAGATCATCCATCAGGGGCCTCCAAAAGGAAACTCAGGATGGGGCATAGTGGTCCACATGAAATCTTTAACAGTGCACAGTAAAATGGGGTTGTATTTGGGCATTAGATTTTTTACATGTAGACTCGGCTGGTCATGTGTGTATGTGTACACACACCATATTACGTTAAGTTTGGGATGAAGTGAAAAATTAATAGCAACATGAATTTCTAGCAAGGACCACCCACCCTAAACTAGTGTGATTGACTTTTCGAACCCGACATAGAACTTTGTACTCTTTGTGTCTTAGTCTATTTTCTGTTGTTATAACTTGTAGAATTTATAAGCAAAAGAAGTTGATTTGGCTCAAGGTTGAAGGCTAGAAAGTTCAAGATTAAATGGCCACATCCTGTGAGGTCCTTTTGTGCTGGTGGAGGCTCTAGAGACCTGAGTTGAATCAGGGCATTCTGTGGTGAGAGGGGCTGGGCAGCTTACCTCAGCATTTCCCTCTTTTTCTTATAAAGGTCCATTGGATTAGAGGCCACCATTATGGCCTTTTTAAACATGACCTCTCAAAGGTACTGTTATGGTTTTGAATATGAGGTGTTTCCTGAAAGTTCATGTGTGAGACAAGGCAAGATGGTTCAGAGGAGAAATGATTGGGTTGTGAGAGTCTTAAGCTAATGAGTGAATTAGTCCCTGATGGGATTAATTGAGTGGTGACTGGAGGCAGGTGGGGGTGTGGCTGGAGGAAGTGGTTTGTTGGGGGAGTGGCTATGGGGTCTATATTTTTGTATCTGGAAAGTGGGGTCTCTCTCTGCTTTCTGACCACCATGTGAGCTGCTTCCCTCTGCCACACTCTTCTGCCATGATGTTCTGCCTCACTTGTCTGCCTCACTTGAGCGCTGAGGAATGGATCCCGCTGTCCGTGGATGGAGAGACCTCTGAAACTGTGAGCCTCCGAATAAACTTTATCTCCCCTAAATTTGTTCTGGTCAGATGGTTTAGTCATAGCAGCGCAATAGCTAACACCGGTATCACCTCCAGATATCACCACTGAATTAACTTTCCATAACCTGAAGTACCTCGCCATGGCAATTGCATTTTAACATATGTTTTCCTTGTGGTATTCAAGCCCTAGGACTTAGTACATGGTTATACAAACTGATTTGGTCCATCAGCATGATTTTTAATTATCTCTATCATTTCACATTTGAATCTTCCCTTTGCTCCACAGCTTTTTGACTTCACACATTTTCATAGTTTTTTCTTTTTTTTTCTATATAGATATTGTCAGTGAAGTAATTGAAAAGCGTTGAACTGGGCCATGCTTAAAACGGATTCCTAGAGAATGACCCTCTGGGCTTTTCTCTGGGACAGCTCCAGGTTGGCCCCATCCGACTGACTGTCCTGGAGGGGTCCCTTGCCTGAGCCCTGCAGAGATCAATGGTGCTGCCCCAAGGCCTCTGCCTGTCACTATCTCCAGACACCACTTTGGCCACGCTTCTTACGGTCTTCAGCGTTTGGTTTTTAAAGTCACATCCATCTGGATGTTAGCTTTCCTGATGCAATTCCTAGATGGCCCTTGCTCTTGTCTCTTTCTGTGTGATTCTCATCTTCTTTGACGGTCATTTGTTCCCACACTATTAATTCATAGGTTAAATAAAACACACGGAAACGTTCTCATTTACTGAGAACTTTCTGTGTGTATTTAAAATGAAAACCAGGTGCTCTGGGCCCTATAAATACCTCTAACCCTCGCTCCCTGGGGTTTTCTTCTGAAGCAGAGTTCAAGAAATTGCAACATGGGTAGACACAAGATGTTCCTCAGGTTCCTCCCTCTTCTTTCTCAGAGTTTCTAAGAGTTCACTAGACCTGGCTCAGGGCCTCATGTTTTACTCATTTTCACACTGCATAGCTCATAGTGGATCTCAGACTAACTGGCCACTTGTGATTGTCTTAATCAGAATATCGTCTCTAAATTCTCCATACTTAATCCTCTTCCTTTACATAATTACTGTCCTTGAGATGATGCTTCCTGGTTTTCTTCTTTCTTTCAGAATTTTGTGATTCACAGACCTTGTTTATTTGCCTTGGATTGGTATCCCCCTCTGTAATTGTTGCAGCCAACACAACCCAGTAATGACCACACATAATAGTCTGACATTTCCATATCACAGTGAGGTTCCTTCTGGACTTTCAAAATCTAATACAGTGGTAAAAAAGCTCCAAGATCCAGCATATAGGGTTGTTTCAGTGCCATCAACTATCACTAATAGCAACCAACAAAATGACAATTAAAAACAAAGGGTTGCTTCTGATTTCCCATTTTATTTTGTTTTAAATCCAGAACCACAGGTCAAACAATTCCTGAGTGCATCAGTGCTCAGCAGAGATAATGATAAGTGATCTCTGAAGTATATGAAGGCATTTTAGTCATCTCTTGTTTTAAGCAAATTATTTTGCTGGCATAGGGTAGTGAGATGAATGGTAGATCAAAAGTATTTGCTGCGATTAGGATATTTGATTCTAATTTTGAAGGCTGAGGAAAAAAATTAATTGACTTATGGCTTAACTAGTTTTTTATTGATATAGATAAGTACACATAATGAGAGCCTAGTAATAGTGAATGATGAAAAAGGTGAGCTTAAAAAAAAAAAAGAAAAAAAGCAAATTTCATTTCCTGGTTTTGCCCTCACCAGAAGACGAGGACCTAAATAAAACTCTGACACGTCTTTTCATTGTTACAAACTGGCTGAAACCAGCATAGATGAGAATTCAGAAACTTATTCTCAAAAGCAGTTTTAAGAGCAAAAAGTTTCAGGTTACATCATAAATTCCTGGGTATAGACCCACAGGGCATGCTCATATCTTAGATGTTCTGTGAAAGCTTTTCCTTCCAGATAAGTTCGCTGGGTTGTAGACAGTCATGTATAGTGGACAAGAGGCTCTGCTGAAGTCAAGGGAGCTAAATTCTAGTTGCCTCTTGTTTCATAAATGGCCATCACTGAAGGTGCATTGGATTCATTACAACAGACCAATAGATGACTCTGGGCTAACAGGGTGAATCTCACTGAGGCCAGAAGACCAGTATCTAAAATACGGTAATACTCCATTGTAATATACTACCACAAATGTAGTAGTTTGAAGTCCAATGTCAAAGTGTCAGTGGAGCCATACTCCCTCTGAAAGCCCCAGGGAAGAATCCTTCTTTGGTCTGCCGGTTTTTTGGTGGCTACAGGCATTCCCTGGCTTCTGGCTGAGTTGCACTAGTCCAATCTCTGAAACTTGAGAAAAGAGGGAAATACAAAGATGAATAATGTTCCTGCCTCTGACTAATTTCATGTTCTGGTAAGAGCAATTTAATCCCACAGGCCATACCCCAGTAAAATGAAGAAAATAGCACCGAAACTTCTATTTAATATCAGGGTCTTGAATCAGGAAATCTTTTGAAGAAATAAGAGCTAGCATTATAAGATTATCGTATTTTTCACCAAGCGAAATGTTTGCAAAGGGAGATTCTATTGACTCTTCCAATGAAGACAATTAAATCTCATACTCAAAATAGAAGGGAGAACGTTTTCAAATAAATCTATTGATTCATGAACTCAGGAGTGTGTCACAAGGGACACTGAGCAGGGTTGTGTTTTCTTAGAGTGGTGTGGTTGATTTGTAAGTGAATATCTTTGCAGGGACTTTACAGAATACACAGGGCTGTAAATCCTGTCCTCACAGAGAGGCATTCACTGAGTTCAGCCTCAATATCATTTTTGTTGTCTGAGTAGAAGCAATGCTGGGATGAAAAGAGGGACAGGTAGATCTGCTGAGGCATATTGGTCCTCCATAAAGTACCAAATAAAGAAGCAATGCAAAGAGTGGGGAAAAATAATTTAGTGGGTAGAAGAATTTGACTCACTTATTGCTTTGGAGGCTACTCATTTCAATATACCTGCTCATTTCTAAACATTCTGCTAATCAAATGCAATATAGTCACAACATCATATTGACATTCAAAGTGCTTATGTTAGATAAGAAAGAAAATGCTTATGTTTTTCTTTTCTTTTTTTTTAAATTTTATTTTCTTTTTTTTTTCTGTTTATCTTTTTTTTATTGGTTGTTCACAACATTACAAAGCTCTTGACATATCATATTTCATACATTAGATTGAAGTGGGTTATGAACTCCCAATTTTACCCCAAATGCAGATTCCAGAATCACATCGGTTCTGAATAATTCTTCTTACTAAAATGTAGAGGCTCATTCAAGCTGAATGAGCACCAGATTAGAAGTCAGAAGCTCTGGTTTGACCTCTCCCTGTGGTTTATCACACCTTCCCCTTTTCAGGGAAATTTCCTTTCTTTTCCCTTTATTTTAAAGTGCAGGATAGGGAATATATCTTCAAATACAGACATTATGGGTCTTATGAGTTACTACTTTGTGCTCATATTATACTAAATGCTTGCTCCCATCTACCTGGCTCAGCTGGACGATTATCTCTCCATTAATACTTTCCTACCCACTCTTTGTCCCTGGGAGAGTCATCTGCTCTCTACCTGTTGTTCTCACTCTACTCTCTCTGTATTTGTACTGTACCACGTGGATCAACCAGAGTAGAGGAGAGAAAACACGAATGGTTCCAAGCAGTGCTTGGATTCTCATGGGACAGTAGG